GGGAGATGTGGGGTAGCACACAATCACAAAATATATAGATAGAAAAACCCCCCAACGCATGAGGTCGGCCAAGTGGAGAAACACTGTGTTAGACTCTCATAGAAGCTCATCAATTTCTCGCAGAATTCTAGAGTCCCACGGAATTGATTGATTGCTTATGTGCCATCACATCATTTTTGACTCCTAGCAGCCACTTAGATAGATCTTCTCCATGACAGAATACAGTCTGAAAAACCTGGGTTCAGCCACCAAATACCAGACCAGGAAATCATAGAATCATAGGAAGGCCTTGGAGGTCTTCTTGTCCACCCCTCTGCCCAGTGCAGGAATCCTCATATTTCAATAAATATTTCAAAGGGGGCCCAGGAGAGGGATCAGCCATGGATTTGGTCAGGAAACTCAGGCTTCAATCATAGTTTGAGGATGCTAAGGTATTGGCCTTGGTCCCATTCAGCAGCTATTCATACAAACATTCTTTCCACCCAGATATGCGGTTTAATAGTATTACCACTTCCAGATAGTAGAAGATCAGGGCAAAGCAAAACATATGGAAGAGGGAATCTTGCCTCTGTGTCATTTTGCATAGCTCTGGTCAAGCAGCAGTTGTCCCCATAAAACGTGAGCTCTTTTAAATGCCCCTTAAGCATCAGTTCACATTTCTCTTGAGACAGCTCTGTGCTCCAGACGGCAATCACGTTTGGGGGAAATGCATAGACATTACATAATGTGCTTCTTGACAATTGTGTGATGCATGAAAAGACATACATCCTTAAATATTGAAGTGAGTGGGTGGCCTTAGAACTTGAATAAATAAACCTGTGTGTACCTAGGCATGTCTTCTTGAATACAGTATATGTGGGTATGAAAGAATCTATTTTACGTCAATCACTGTTATAAGTTTGGCATGGGAAATGCTGGTGCTTTTCTATGAGTAGCTCCTGGGTGTCTGGGATAATGTCCAAGTAGCAAAAGTCATTTGGCAAACACTGACTCTGGGCAATCCAAATGTGACCTTCACAAACTCTCCAAGAGCCAGGTCCATGGAAGAGAGCCATGTCTTTGGTCATTTTCTATTCAGCTTTGAGCAGCAGCGTTGGTCCCTTGCAGCCAAACTAAGGGGAAGAGTTGTGTGGCCTCTTAAAGAGAAAGGACGTTTCCACACTTCAGTCTTAAGCTATTTGACTCCAGTATATGAATCAGTTGGAAATGAAGCCTTTCAGATTTCAACCCCTTCCCCCACTTGACAGTGGTGTGGGCCTGATTATCTGTTTGGACTACATTTACTACCTAAGTAATGGATTCCCCTGGTTCCTTCCCCCTCCCACCAAGGATAGTAAACACCAATCACTTTCCTTTCATTGAGGGGTCTTTGACAACATGTTGTTTCCATTGTCAAATCTTTTGTAGCCACCTCCCATCCATGACTCCCCCTTATACATCACTCCTTCTCATTGGGTGTATCCACTGTTGATGGGAGAAAGGAAGGAACGAGCGTCCAGATTTCACCTTTCCATCAATTGTTAAGAAAAATCGCAGCCTTTTACCAGTCCAGTAACCCAGAATAAATTGGCAGTTATGGAGAGTGTGGAGATGTTTGCCTACAATGAAATGAAGCTCAACATATAAACCAAGAGCACTGCTTGCACCAGCCCAGGTCAGAAAAACACTGCTTGTGATAGGCAGCAAGACAAGAGAGGTGGAGGAGGCTCCCTTCCTGGTGGACTGTGGGTAGGTAGAAGATGGCATGCCTTCCTACCTTCGAGAAATGGCCCGCCCTTGAGCTCCAGCAAGCTGTTTGTGCAGATCAGCCTTAATCCATTTCTTACCGTTTGAATTTTGGGGATCCAGATTAGTAAGATTATTCTCTGTGCAAAGTATCTGCTAAAATAGACTGTAATCCATAAAAGTGGAGCCGATATTTAATGTGTCCATCTATTTTTCTGTTCCCAGACAAGTGGCCCAAAATGAGCATGATGAAGGATGGAAAAGGTGAACCCAGGGAAATGTTATGAAATCCTTGGCTTCCTATTATATTTGACAATGAAAGCTTGTGATTTCCTGGTGCGGATGGAAGCTAACATAAGCCTTTCAGAAAAGGCTTTCCAGGCATTGACTGACTATATAATCAAAGCATTCTTTAGAGGAGAGTAACTGTTTGCCAAACCTATTGTCACTAGTTTTCCATTCGCCCCCTGTGACTGAGCTCTTTTATCAATGTTGGCTGCCTGAGCTTTGGCAAAGGCTAAGAAAATGGCCAGAGCACACCAGGTCATTCTTCCTCCCCCTGGTCCTTCTTCCCTGCTCTTAGAGTGACTGTGAAGAGTCTTTTGTGTGAGGAAAAAAAAATCTGCTGCAGGATTTTGAGTTGTGGACTGATCTGGCTCAAGATCTTGTGAGAAAGAAACCTCAGCATTCCAACAAATATTCAATTAATCAGATGCCATTAAATTGGGGTTGACCACTGGTGATTGCCAGGACAAATGCTTGCCAACTTGACTCTCCCAGCACACAGCTCTTCCTAGACCATTCAAGTCATCTTTTTTATCCATTCCTTCCACTTTAAGATTGACCTGGCTATCTAATGTGATACCTGTTGGGGTGCTGATGCTGTGAAATTTCACATTATGGTCCACTTGCCCCTTTATGAATAAATGAGAATGTTACAAAAGATCAGTAAGGCTTCTCCCAAGAAAATCAGTTGGAAAACTCTGTGTGTGTGTGCGCACATGCACACAATGATACTGAAGCTGCTCTTGCAGAAATGCTTGAGGTAAAGAAACTCAAGCACCTTTCCAGCCTTTGTGAATGAAACAGGAGAGTTGCATAAGGCAGACCTCCAGTTTAATCTGGGTAGCTGCCCTAATAATCGGTGCCCACAAGGGGAGACTACTTAGGAAGCTCATGACTGCCATCTTGTATTAGGCAAGGCAGGATAGAAATCTAAAAAATGGATAAAAACATCTCTGAGCCAAGCTGAGTTCCCACTGATAGATGCATATCATTTTCTAAGCAAAAGAAGAAAGATGGCTTGCCATTGATTTCCTCCAGGATGTTTTTTGGATTTCCTGGTGACTTAGGTTCATTTGTTTTTTTGTTTGTTTAGAAGTCAGCCACAGGCAATTAGATGTCTCTGTAAAGCTATTGCTAGCTTTAGCAAATACACTGGTGTGTTGCAATATCCATGAGAGATTTCTAAGAAAGAAGAGCTGAAAGCTAGTGTGATCATTGCAAGCTTTATTAAAGGTAAATACTTACAGGAGTAAGCACATGATGCTCCCTGCAACGGACAACAAGTATGTATACTATGTTCTGCATGTCTGTGCCAAAGGGCTGGTTTGTAGAGTTTTATAACGATCATGCCGAGTATGTGCAAAACAAGTTGGGTGAGAAACTAGCTTATCAGCCTGTGAAATGCCTTTCCTGTGAACTCCTCAGTATCTCTGCATCGGGCATTACCCCCACAAGCATTCCCTATGCTGGACATCTTACTATTTTTTATACTAAAATTCATGCAGTGGTTAAATATGGTGTTAGCTCGGTTCAGGGTACACAACTGGCCAATAGGAAGGATAGTTCAGACATCTTGTTCAGGTGCAGTCTTTTCATGTGCTGTTGTTGTTGTTCAAACTGCTCTCTTCTTAAGAACTCAGGTA